GCCCCCATATCACCGCAGGGTGTCGAGGCTGGGACTCCCGGTGACAGCCATCCCTTCTGCAGTTCCCTGGCAACGTCCCTTCAGTGTTTATGACCTGAGGTGAATTTAAGCAACACACTCACCGTAATGGGAGGGGCGGAGGGAGGGAAATGAGAAAATTTGGGAGACGGCAGGGAATAAAGTTTATATTCCAGCATTTGAACAGATTCCGTGAGTCTGTAGGTAGGATTCTCTTTGGTGCAGGTGGTTGCTCTGGGGAAGATGGCCCTGGGTAACGTGAGCAGGTGGGGGCAGGCGAGGGGGAAGGCCACCTCCCCGAGGAGGTGACGGTGACACAGGGGTGGACAGTGGGGAGGTGCATGGGGGCAGCGAGGCGGAGCGGGCCCAGGAGAAGGAGCTTCAGATGCCCAAAGTCAGGCAGGACCGCGATGTGTCTGAGGTCCCCGAGGGGGCCAGCACGCGCCTGGAGCTCAGGGAGCACGGGGCAGAGGAGGACGCTACCCAGGGGTAGCTCCGCGTGGCTAGAAAGGGCACCGCAGGTCACGGGAGGAGCTGGGCGGTTCTAGTGGCGCAAAGCCGAGGCCAGCGGGAGGGCAGTGCGTGCCGATCCCTGCTTCCCAGAGGGAGGGCGGTTCTGGGGCGAAGGCAGAGGAGGGGAGGCTGATTCGAAGGCCGTCGCAGGAGTCCGCTTGAGGAAGGATGGTGACGGTGGCCACAGAAGCCGTCCCTGTGTGTTTTGGGCGCTCGTTTCCCAAGCCGTTCCCGCTAGAACCAGCCCCGGTTCCGGGTGGGCGGGCCGGGGCTGCGCACGCCAGAGGAGGTGCAGTTCCCCTGGGGGACTGATCTCAGCTCGGGCAGAGGGAAGAAGACGTCTCGCAGGGGTATGGTTAAGGGGGCCTACGAAGCTGCTTCTGTGTTCACCCCTGGCTTCTGGGCTCCGTCTCGGGCTGTGGGCGAGTCTCGCCGCCTCAGTCACCGGCTTGGAGCCTGCGTCCCGCCGGGGCAGCGCGGCAGGCTCGGGGCGTGTCTCCAAGCGGCCTCTGTGACTCCGTTTGTATTAGGCCATTATCCCATTATCGGGTGTGATACGGTGGGGCACACGCCCCTCGCCGTGGAGTGCCGTGGAGTGTCGCGTGAGACACGACAGCGTAGCAGCCTTCAGCAGGATCCCGCAGAGGCCCGGCAGTTACGGAAAACAAATCCGCGTCCAGCACAAGCGGCTCCTCCAGTGAGGACAGATCGTCGCCCCTCTATTATGAGAAGGCCACACTGCAATCAGCTTTCCGCAAGCAGCTATCTGGTTCCCCGAAGGAACCGTGTCATTAGCTTTGTTGAGGGGAAGGCCCTGGCTTCCTGTGGTCCTAGCCCAGGCTCAGCGTCCGTTTCTGCCACCATGGCCTTTTTCTTTTTTCCCTTCTCTTTATGAGCCCACTGAGCAAGCATCGAGGTGACTAGGAAAGAAGACTGACATCTGCACGGCGGGACACAGCGCTCCCAGCAGTGCTCAGCAGCCTCTTTTGCAGTAAGGAGTCACACGGGTCAGACATCTTCGCACGCTCTGAGTATACTCCCATATATCCGATCCAACCCCCTTCCCCAAACCAGTCCCCAAGCCCGTTTTGCGTTTTCCACGTCCCCCCAGGGGACTCCTAACCAGGAGTGCACACAGCTAAGCTCTCCCGAGGCCATCTCTCTTTGCCACTGGAGGGGTCCCCTGTCTTGGGGACACAGCTACCAGCTCAGTTCCTCCCCCCCCACTCAAGATCTCCAAATCCATAGCGAAAGGTTGGTTAACGGATACAAGAGTAACAGCTGGGAGGAGTGAGTTCTAGTGTCCTGTAGTATTTTAGGGTAACTACAGTTAACAATAATTTATTGTTTCTTTTCAAATAGCCAGAAGAGCGGATTTTGAATGTTCTCAACACAAAGCAATGATAAATGTTTGAGGTGATGCGTGTGCTAATTACCCTGATTTGATCATTACACAATGTATACATATTCCAAAATACCACTCTTTACCCCAGAATTATGTACAATTATTATGTGTGAGTTAAAAATAATGATAAAAGCAAAATAACCCTCCAAATGAAGAGATGCCCACAACTAAATTTTTCTCAAAATATAGAAAATTGAACATGAGCAATTTAATTTTTTTCTTTTATTTTTAAAGAAATGGAGACATACTTCTTGTAGGTAAAGCGAGCTCCCCCTTTGGAACCTGGCACTACTGAGCTGTACTCTCTCCTGGCAATTGGTATTTTTCTCCTGCCCTGTTAGTACCTGTCTTATCTCTGACGAGCCCATGCAGTCCATGGAGGAAGGTCACGTGGAACTGGCTGAGTAATGTTTATTGACTCCGTGGGTGTGGCATATGAGATAATAGAATCAGCATGATGAATCTCAGTAGCAGTGATACATCTCTTTATGAAGCCCACAGAGGGAAGGCTGCCAGCCTGTAAAAACTCTATTGCTTTTTGGTGATGATGATCGTGGCTTCCTTTTGCCTGGCTTTAGGAAGGGTACCTGTGCTGTTAGGACTTTGTCCCAGAACATTATCTTTGCTGCCTTTTGCATTCTTCTTTAATGAAGCTTTTCTGTTATGTTCTTTGAGATGACTCATTGCATCACGGCTTACCTGTGCTCCCAATTTTCCCATACTTCGGATTCCAGCAATATTTCTTCCCTTGCCTACTTTGTATATTTGGATCAGAAGTCAAATTTGATAGCTTTCCAAAATTCTTAGCTTCGTGTCCATTTCCCTTCTCTTTCTACTTATTCTATCCAGAGTTCAGATTGCTTTGTTTT